GATGATGATGATGATGATGTGTGTGTGTGTGTGTGGTGCGCTTGTCGCGCAGTACACCACGCACCACCGCTACACAACAGCACACAAACAGCACACAAACAGCACACAAACAGCACACAAACAGCACACAAACACGCAGAATACAGCCACCACCCACAAACCACCCACAAACCAGCACACATGCACCATGCACCAAACAACGCTCAACCCATCACACCCCAGCCACAAAGCACACCGCACCTGTTGGGAGAGGCAGCGCATGTATGCGTGGATGAGCTTGGAGCACTGTGTGTCGTCAAAGTCGTTTCGCTTCCAGCAGTCAAAGAGCTTGTCCATCTGGTGCTGGCAGCCGACCTCTGCGGCGCGAGCCGCGGAGGCGACGCGGCCCGGCCCGCGCAAGGGGCGGCCGGCAATCAGCTTCATGGGCTGCGTCCTCCCTCTCATGGCTGGGCTGCTGTGTTTGTTGTTTGTGTGCGTGTGTTCTGTGTGTGTGTGTGTGTGTCTGTGCGTGTGTTCTGTGTGTGTGTGTGTGTGTGTGTGTGTGTGTGTGTGTGTGTGTGTGTGTGTGTGTGTGTGTGTGAAGGTGGGAGGGGTGGGCCGGGAAGGATGGATAGGGGGGTGCTTGGTGTGCTTGGTGTGTGCTTGCTATGATGCTTGGTGTGTGCTTGCTATGATGCTTGGTGTGGCTCGTGGGTGGTGTTGTTCATTTCACATCATCAGTTGGATGTGTGAGGAAAAAAGAAGAATCTGCCACTGGCTGGCCATCACATGCAAGAGAGGATGGGCAGGTCGGGAATCATAAAACCAACTTGTAGCCCCACAAACATAAGCAAGAAGAGCAGGGTCTGTGGCCAAGCTGGTAAGGCGTTGGTCTCGTAAACCAAAGATCGAGGGTTCAAATCCCTCCAGGCCCTTTGTTCTCTTTCCTTTTTGCCTCTCCCAGGCCCCATCTCTCTCTCCCCTTCTCTCCCTTCTCTCTCTCTCTCTCCCTCTCTCGTAAACCAAAGATCGAGGGTTCAAATCCCTCCAGGCCCTTGGTTCTCTTTCCTTTTTGCCTCTCCCAGGAGAGGCCATCCTTTGCGCTCTCCATCCCTTCTCTCTCTCCATCCCTCTCTCTCCCTCTCTCGTAAACCAAAGATCGAGGGTTCAAATCCCTCCAGGCCCTTGGTTCTCTTTCCTTTTTGCCTCTCCCAGGAGAGGCCATCCTTTGCGCTCTCCCCTTCCCTCTCCCTCTCTCGTAAACCAAAGATCGAGGGTTCAAATCCCTCCAGGCCCTTGGTTCTCTTTCCTTTTTGCCTCTCCCAGGCCCCATCTCTCTCTCCCCTTCTCTCCCTTCTCTCTCTCTCTCTCTCCCTCTCTCGTAAACCAAAGATCGAGGGTTCAAATCCCTCCAGGCCCTTGGTTCTCTTTCCTTTTTGCCTCTCCCAGGCCCCATCTCTCTCTCCCCTTCTCTCCCTTCTCTCTATCCCTCTCCATTCCTCTCTCGTAAACCAAAGATCGAGGAGATCAAATCCCTCCAGGCCCTTTGGTTCTCTTTTCTTTTTTGCCTCTCCCAGGACCAATCTCTCTCTCCCCTTTCTCTCTCTTCTCTCTCTCTCTCCATGCCTCTCTCGTAAACCAAAGATCGAGGGTTCAAATCCCTCCAGGCCCTTTGGTTCTCTTTCCTTTTGCCTCTCCCAGGCCATCCTTTGCCTCTCTCCCTTCCCTCTCCTGCTGGGAAATGCACAACAAAGAGGAAAGCATGTCCCGCTCTACTGCTGGATGCGTCGCTGAAGCCTTCATGTACTTCTCGCGTGAAAACGCCCCAAGAAAGCAAGCAACAAGCAAGCAAGCAAATCTGCGGAATCAGCGTGTGGGGTGACAGTACTCACACATCAAGAACAAGTACTTCAAGTCTTCACTCAAGTGCTAGTGCGTCGCGTCCGTTCCAGTTCCATCCATCCTTCGCCACACCAGTCGCAGCACCCAGTCCCAAGATTAAGCGCAGAGCAGAGCCACACAGGGGAGAGCAGACAAGAGAAGACAGGGTAGGCCACACAAAGAGCAAGGCAAAGGGAAGAGAAGAATCCGCGTCCTGCACCCAACGACTTTGCAGCAACAGCAGCCATGTCCGGCGGAGAGAAGAGGGCGAGGGAGGAGGTGGAGGCCTTGCTGGCACAGACAAAGCTAAAAGATAAGGTGAAGGACAAGATCAGGGCCGTCGCCAACAACACATGTGGGGACGCTGTGAGGTGAGTGCAAAGCAGCCAAACGATAGGTTGGAGCATGCACGCATTTGTTGGAGAAAGGGAACAAGGACATTCACCTGTTTGCTTGCTTGGCTTGTCCTCTTTGCTTGTTTGTCCTTGTTTCTGTGAGCTTGGGGTGTATCTTTCTGGCCCGGAGGTCCTGTGTGTGTGTGTGTGTGTGTGTGTGTGTGTGTGTGTGTGTGTGTGTGTGTGTGTGTGTGTGTGTGTGTGTGTGTGTGTGTGTCCGATCACCCAAACCAGCCACCATGAGCGTGTTCGCTCAGGTTGTGACTTCCATTCTCATGTCTTTCCTCTCATTTCCTCGTGTGACTTCAGCCTGCATAATGCTGGCCTCGGCGACAGGGGGGCGCGTGCGGTGGCCGAGGCACTCAAGGACAACACCTGCCTCAACACGCTCGTGTACGTGGTGACGTGGACCTACGTCGTGTGTGACATGCATGGCTGACTGCGTTGGTTGCTGCTGTTGCATGCTGCCCCGTCTCCTCCCCCACACTCAAACGTCTCTTCTTGTACACTTTGGGTGAGATCCCCCCCCCCGGGTGATTGCCTATTTTCAGCCTGCACGACAACTCCATCAGGGACCAGGGCGTCGTGGCGTTGGCGGAAATGCTGAAGCACCACACGACCCTCACGGGACTTGGGTATGAAGAACAGCTACATGGAACACCACCCTCTGCCGGCACGCGTGCTCGCATGGCGGTGTGAACCCTCCCCTTCTCCCGCAGACTTTGCAGCTGCTTGCACACTGCGTTTGTCACACTCACCACTCCCTCTCACCATGCGCACTACCATCCCCTTATCATCCTCTCTTTGGGCTGACAGCTTGATCAACAATCATATCAGCGATGTGGGCGCCGTGGCGTTGGCTGAGGTGTTGAAGGATAACTCCACCCTCGAAACGCTTGTGTTAGTGGATGCCCCTCTTGACGACCTTGCGGCCTTGTTGCTGTATTCACGGTGTCAAAATCGACGCACTGCCATCCATGCATGATGTCCCTTGCTGTGTGCTGTGTGCCTGGTTTGCCAGAACCCTGCCACCTTCCACAGTGTCATGAGTGCCACCAAGTGACCCTGCCCCTTGACGCTGACGATCGTTGCTCTTCTCCACTTTCTATCCTCGACCATCATACCTGCTGGCCACTTGCAGCCTGTTCAACAACTCCATCACCCCTGTTGGTGGCACCGCGCTGGGAGCTGCCATGGACCAGAACCGCACGCTGAAAAACCTCTGGTACGTCGATTGTGGTGCAGAGCCCTCACGAACAACTCTCATTGCTGTGGATGCGTGTGACCAATCACCACTCTCTGCACGGACCATAGCACTTGTTGTTCCCTGATTGCTTGCACACGTTCACAACCATCGATTCCCTGACCGTATTTCTCCTTTGTCAAACACATCCATGTCACATCACACCTCCTTGTTCAGGCTTCACAAAAACTCCACTGCCACCGCTCGCGCTTTTGGTACTGCACTGCCCATCAATCGAGCGCTCGGCACAGGCGATTGGTCAGTCAACTCACTACTTTCCATTCCAACTCGTTGCTGTCTGCGCTCGCTCCCTCTGGCCACATTTCGCTCGTTGCTTTGCTCTTTCGGTGACAGTGTCTCATCTTGTGTGTGATTGAAGGGGTGAGGATGGCGAGGGCAAGGCAGCCTTCTTCACAGCCCGCGAGGAGAAGAAGCAACAGCAGCAGCAACTGTTCACCGCCTGTAAGAGTGGTGACGCTCGAGCTGTCAGCTCCTTCATCAACCAAGGCCACACAGACATGAACCAGCAAGATGAAGAGGTGTGTGCAGTGTGTGCTTGTAAGTCGAGGCACTGGGTTCAGGGGTTCCGCTTTTCATGCCTGGCGTGTTCATTTACAGGGATTCTCACCACGCGACCCTGCCCCATTTCATGCACTCGCCCAAAACAGGGCAATACGTTGCTGCACGTTGCCTGCAGGCACAACCAGCCCACCATCGCGAGGCTGCTCTTTAAGAAGGGCGGGAACATTTTCATCAAGAACAACAAGGTGATCCGCTTCGTTTGCTGATGTCGACGGTGTGGGCACTGCTTCCTTGCGTTGCGTTGTCTTCTCTCTCAGTCTGTTCTCTTCCTCGTCCTCTCCGTTGGCAACTCAAGCCTCTCGCTTTCCACTTCAAACATGCCCAGGGAGAGACACCCTATGATGTGGCGACAGCCAGCGGGCACACCGCCATCACCAGCATTGACGGGCTCAAGCCGGCAGCAAGCAGCAGCAACAGCAGCGGCAACGCCAGAAGAAGCAAGAAGAAGCTGTACAAGACGTAAGTGGCGGCGATCGTGCTTGCATGCAAGCAACGTGAGCCCATGCGCATCACACCACCCATGTCAATCATACTCTTCATGCTCTGTTTCCCAACACAATGTCGCTCACCCACTCACGCCACCATGTCACCATTGCTTTTTCTGCCTCCACCAGCCTGATCGGGTGCGCAAGGAGCACCTTCGGCAGCGCATGCGAGAGATCATTGCGCGCTTCATCGCCACCATGGCGGGCAGGGCCAAGCTCACCTTCATTGGCCAGGGGCGCACCGGCAAGACTTCCACCTTTAAATCGCTCATGGGCCGTAGCTTCAACAAGCACGAGCACTCCACCTTTGGTGCCACCTCTACCGACCTCGCCGTCATTGTCGAATCAATGGACGTTCACGATCTGGCCGGCGTTAACGAACTACCATAATTGCTTGTGCTGTGTCCTCCCCCTCTCCCTGCTTCCCTCCTTCCTCAACTCATGCGTTTTACCTTTGCAACACACGCAGGGAGAGAGGCCCTATGATGTGGCACAGGCCAGCGGTCATACTGCCATCACCAGCATCCAAGGGCTGAAGCCAGGCGGCAAGCCTTTGGAGCAACCACAACAGCAACAGCAGCCAAAACAAGAGCCACCTGCGCCCACTCCTGCCGCCGGACCGAAGCAAGAAGAACAAACAGCGCAAGACGTGAGTGATTTGACAAGTGCTTGCCAGCAACGCACAAGCAAATGCATCACGTCACCCATGCCATTCCTTCATCACGCTCTCCGTGGTCTCGTATCAAGCATAATCATGTTGTCTCACACAACCATCACCAGCACCACCATCAGCAGCAGCCCGAGCAGGCGCGCAGGAAGCGTCTCCAGCAGCGCATGCGGGAGGTCATAGCACGCTTCAACGCGACCATGGCGGGCAGGGCCAAACTCATCTTCATTGGTCAGGGGCGCGCCGGGAAGACCAGCACGTTCCACTCGCTCATGGGTCACATGTTCAACAAGCATGAGCACTCCACCCTTGGCGCCGCCTCAACCGACCTCGCCGTCATTGTCGAATCAATGGACGTTCACGACTGGCAGGTGTGTACCCTTGTCTGGTGCGAGCATGTGATGTGTGCGACGCATGGGTGTGAAGAGAGGTGGTGGTTGACACGATCATCCCCTCGCACAAGCGTTACACACACACAAACACACACACACACACACACACACACACACACACACACACAACCTTTGCAGGAGCTGAATGCGGAGATCTCGGAGCTGATGCGCAGTCTCTGTGGAACGGCGCTGGCGCAGGAATCAGGCGTGGATTGGGAGATGAAGCAGGCGATGATGACGGCGAAAATGGACCTCGAGAGCCGCATCGCCCAACACCAACACCAACAGCGGCAACAGGAAGCCGAGAAGGCACCAAAGGCGACGGGTTCAAAGTCGAAGAAGGAGCAGTCACAGCAGTCAATGGAGACGCGGCCACGGCCATCAACCCACACGTCAACATCGACCGTCCCAAGGCCCAAGGATACGTCTCATGCCCCAGCACCTGCGCCCAAGAAGCAGGCCAACCCCGATCCTTGCCACCAGAATGATGCTGGTACTCACGAGAACAGCACCACCGCCACGACCGGCATGACTGCGAAGGAAATGGAGAAGGCGATCAAAGAGTTCAACGTGGAAGCCGTCATGGGCCAGGGCAACACCAGGGTCACTTTCAAGATCTTTGACCTGGGCGGTCAGTCCACCTTCTACATCTTCCACCCTTTCTTCCTCACAGAGTGAGTTCAGGTTGTGTGCGTGTATGTGTGCGTGTGTGTCTGTGTGTTTGAGTGTGTGTGCGTGTGTCTGCGTGCATTGTGTGTCTGTGTATCTGTATGTATGTATGTGTGCGTGTATATGTGTGTGTGCGTGTTTGCCTGCTTGCAGTCCCTCCACCACCTCTCCTCCATTCACCTCTCCCTTCATCACCGCACACACACACACACCAGGTACGCGGTGTACCTGCTGGTGTTCTCCATGGAGGACCTGCTGCACCAAGATGAGAGCAACCGAGCTGAGACGTGGGAGTTTATGGAGCATTGGCTCTCCTCCCTCCACCTCCATGCAAAAGGCGCACCCGTCCTCATCGTCGGCACCTTCGCTGATGTGGTCAGTCAGCGGAAGCAGCATGAGCAGATCTCACGCGAACTGTACAGCCGCCTGCGCCACAACCCCGCTTTCCCTGGCGTCATTCACAACGACAAGCACGGCTTGTGGTTCTGGCCCGTCGACAACACCAAGTCCATCAACGACCCCATGATCCAGGACCTGCGCCAGACTATCTCCTCCACAGCACTGGCGCAGGAGTACGTAAGCCAGGAGGTGGCCGTGCCGTACCTCCACCTCTACGACAAGCTCCATACCATCGCCCGCGACGACAATCGACCGCTGCTCACGTTTGATGAGGTGGTGGATATTGCGCGCACGTGTGGGCTGCGCACGCGTGACGAGACGAGGGCCTGCCTTCAGTTCCTGCACCTGTACTCGATGGTGCTGTACTACGACAGCGTGCCAGGCATGGATGATTGTGTGATCCTGAGTCCGCAGTGGGCGGTGGACACGATGACGCGCGTCATCCGCAACTTTGACCTGCACTACGATGCGCGGGATGGCGAGGCGAGGGCCGTTGGCGCGCAGCTGTGGGACGACCTCCTTGACCGCGGTATCCTGCATCGCCGCCTGCTGGATGTGCTGTGGAGGGACGTGGACAGCAACTTGATAATGCCGTTCCTGCGCCTCATGATGCAGTACGGGCTGTGTGTTGAGTACTCCCCACCCAAGCTGGTGGACAGCCGCAGAGCACTCGCACGCACCAACTCTGGCCACGGTGAAAATGCTACAGCCAAGGGCAGCAAGGGCAGCAGTCCCGGGCACCAGCAGTACCTGGTCCCTGCCATCCTGCCGATGACGATTCGCCACAACAACAGCGAGATGGCATCCG